TACAAACAATTCAGTTTAGCTCTCGACAAGCAGCAAACTACTTTACATCGCGAAACAAAGAAATTCTGCTCTTCCCTTTGCTACAATTTCGAACTAATTTTAAATGTTGTACGTCGATGACAACTTAACTCACAATTATGAGCTAATACAATTTAGTGTCCAGATTGGTATCCAAGTCAAGTGACAAATACGTGAAAATTCGCTTCTTAAGTCACGTGCGGTCTAACTTGACAATGTAATCATTATTTCATACTAAAGAATGTTTATAATGTTGTGAAATGTTCTATTATTTGTTCATACGAATGAATCAATCACTTTCAAAATATGCGAAAATATTTAAATGATTAAATTGTACCTTAATTACTCATTTGGCAAATATCTTTATATTCTATTATAAAAATATTTCTATTATTTACAAATATTTCTATTTGCTCACACGTTTGATTAAGTTTGAACGTCTTGTCTTTAAAATTTTAGTACATTTGATATTTACAATTACATTTTCCTAAAGGCTTTTCTATTTTTATCTTTGAAAAATTTTAAATAATCTATGAAATCGATACGATATCTTCAACATTATTGTCTTATACAATATAGACGAAATATTCGAACCTGTAATACTAAACGATTCGCCTGATATGTAGATCTGGATCTTAAATTGAGATTGGAAGCGCGACTTTAAATGGGTCCTTCACCGTCCTCCGTTCTTCTTTCCCCAAGATATTGAACAACCAGACGGTAGGTGTATGAATAACAATGAAGGAGAAAGGAGGGCGAGAAAGGTGGAAAAATGTTGTCCTCAAACACGAAATTTATATAAACGCTCGAACTACTTTGCAATCAAATTAAATTGTTTCTTGTTGTTACAAATGATCGAATCTTTGACAGGAGGAAACAGACGTTTTATTATTACGATTTAATCGTATATGTATTATATATATTAATCGATTATATCTCTATTTTTGGTGGGTTGTAAATTGGTTAGAAAGACTATATTTAACTGACAGACATAAACTTCTCTCAATATATATTTTCGGTTTATTAGCCACTAATTGTTTGAGTAACAGATGGCGATTCATGACCATTTAATTGGTGTTTAATAGCGGGCTGTTAATAGATACATATATCGATCGGACAAAAAGCAATTATTTGATACATTAAGTTAACGACTTAAATATTATTTCAGTTACTTAGCTTTTTATATAAAGTTACATATTAATTTGAATGTTATTTAAAAAATGACAACTGGGTATAAAATTACGATAATTTGTAACATATACGCATATATACAATATTATGTATAAAGATTCAAGCTCCAACCTCAATAGAATAAATTAACAAGTAGCTCGATTACAACTGCAAATATCTACCATCACAACACAGCAGCCAATTGTTTTAAAATAACAGCGCAAAACCTTAAGTTAGTTTTGTATGACAGACGCATTTATTATTTTTACAACAATTTTGCTTGTTGATATAAAAATCAAATCGTTATACTCTTATACGCTCATACGTAAGAAAGTCTGTGACTTCAACGATCGTCGCACTTTCTGGGTGAATAACATTTCGAAAGTGTAATATCTCGAACAACGTGAGATGTTTTATGACGACATTCAGAAGCTATATTTTCGCTATGGTGTATAAAAGTACGAAAATCTACAAAATGAAACTACTAAATTGTAAATGCCATAACTTTTTTTAAACGTTATCACATGGGAAATAGTTTTGTTCAAGTATCTAAAAATTTAGCTAGGTACAGATTTGAAAATAATTTTGTTAAACCATTGAAATCATTATAAAACGCTCAAGCATAATAAGTGATACTGCAAAAAGTGTTTGAGCATCCTATATAATTATTTTGATAGTTCAAAAATGTCATTTTATCCGTGTATAAGAAAATTTTTAGATACTTTAGCAAAACCGTTCTTTCCGTACAAGACTTCGAACTATTCTAATCATCGCAAGGTCTATTGCATCTCACGTTACTCATCCGAGGTTAATAGAACGAAGGCACGCCAGAGAAGTAACAAAGCGCATGATACTCGAATCGAATGTCTCGAAAAGTTCGATCGGTACTTGAAGGGGTTCGGCGTGGAGGGTCCTCCTCCTCCGCCGGTCCGGTCCATAAGAGGAAGAGACGTCCGTTCCGAATGGAGGGAGGCCCGAGGAAGCGCGAGGATCGATTCTCGAAATCCCGGAACGCACGAGAGAAATGTCTGCACGAGAAAGCGCACCTCGGCACCCCCTAGGAGGACGCGCTCCGCCCTTGGAGGATTCGCGTTTCGAGACCAATATTCTCGCCACCGCCCTTGAAGACTATCCCCGAGTGTCTCTCTCTTGCCTCATCCGTCTGCGATCCTGCGTACATTTCCGCCGCGTATACATACACGTCATAAATATTTCGCGCATTCGCTCGCGCTCCATCGACAAACGCGAAACTGATTAACGAGATGGAGAACGCTATCTAGACGAAGCACTCTCGCGGGAATATCGCTACGTTATATTCGCGGTCATTCAATTCTTAGTCAGATTTTGTTATTTTAACGGTCATCCTACAATTGCAAAAGGATAATTATTTTCTCCCCTTCGCGAATTATCAGGGTACGCAAAAGTACAATTTACGATTTGATTATATGTATATCGTAAATCGTATTTATTCGTCTCTTATTATAATTCCATATTGTCTTTCATAATCTTTTCATTTGTCACTTTATAATCCTTTCCGATTTTATCAATCTCAAAGTTCGTATCGACTTATCAATCCCTTGTACAGTTTGATCCACGATAGAACGTCTGATAGGAAAATACTCGGTCGCTCGCATCGACACCCGCAATTTTCCTTTGTCGCCGTAAATCCAGCGCGACGAATCGACGTCGCGATCGGTCGAGATTGCTCGCACCGTGAAATATGAAACGCGTACGCTTGACGGATGAAGCGCGAGTTCAAGGTGGCGGCGATGAGCCTCGCGAACGATCCTGCGGGGTGGGGCGCACCAGGAATTGTGCACCGCATGTCGTATTTCTGCATGTCGAGAATCCGTACTAAGGAATTGACGAATCGGCACCTGCATGCCTGTAACTTATGGCTTGTTTTCTCTCTGAAGTGTGTAGCTTGTTAGTGTGTGTAACGCCTACTACAACTCTGTCTACTCTCTATACTCGACTCACTATACTCCCCTTCGTTCCTCAACGTCGCCAAACGATTTATCAGAAAACGTCGAATGGTTATCAGAGTTATTTCGACAGCAAATTAAACATTTAGATAAATGGAATAAGTTGATGGTTATTGGTTGATGCTTGAATTTGACGTTCAATAAAAAATTTCATTGAAGAAATAAAATTTGTTGATTTTTTTTTAAATCCATTTTCTGCGTTCTAATAAAAGTATTCAGTATATAAATCTAGGGAAATATTTGATAAAACTTTCTTATTATTTAAATATACTTTTATTAAAAAGTTATGATAAATTTGCGAATATTTAATTCCGATATATTTATTTCTTACTAGCAGTAAGATGTTTAAAGAACAATTTGTAAACATACATATAATATTTTCGTGCATTTCTTATTTTTACTGCAAATCTTTTTTTTCACCGAATTTGCAATAAAAATGTCGACTATATAGAATAAAGAATGTAACGCGACAGTTAAAAGAAAGTACACAATGAAGAATGAGAAAAAAATTCACACAGTGTGTGTGTAATATATTCGAGTTTTTATTTTCTTCAAAATTTACAAAAAAAAATCGATGCGAAACGATCGATGCGAAACGATCGATGCGGAACCGAGGGTTAACTCTCTTAGTCGGCGTCCCGCGGCCTCCCTCGAGAATCCCAAAATCTCTTAAGAACGAAATCACGCTTGGCGAACAGCGCGTCGCTCCGGGATAATTTCTCGCGTGCAGTAACGCTCAATACGAGGATCTTTCTACTCTGAACGGAGTTTCAAGTGCCACAGTATTCTCGAAGGAGCCCGAAAATCCTCTCAAGAAGAGACGCCAGATCGCCTGTCGATTTCGATTACGGGCCGGTTCATTTAACTTCGTCTTCTTATCGACTTTTTATTTCGCGTCGCACCATCACTTTCGACAAACGAGAAAACGCTAACGTCGTCGTGAGGACACTCGGAATGATATTTGCTGCTCTTTAATAACGCGCTTAAAGTAACTTGTGATTGACTAATTACGCGAATTAAAATAACAATAATATTAAAAATTAAGTACAGAAAGTGTAATGGCGGAAACGTGCTTAGTGAAATAAACTTTTGTAGATTTAATTTAAGAATATTAAACATTAAGAGACAGTATAAGAATATAAACGAAAAGTGCATTTTTTTATCAAGCTGACTCATGTATAATTAACAGTAATAGGATTAAATTTATCTTGATTTCAATTAAATTACGAATGACATTATTTTTTCTTTAATAATATCTTGATATTTTTATTATATTTGCATTTGTTAAAAATAATTTTAAATCAATTTTATATCAATAATTTTAAATAAACATTAAAAGCAGTAATAAAACTTTTAACACGTTCACATATATATATACACGAAAACTATTATGCTCTTCTTAAATTTATTCTTTATATATGTATGTGATATATCATATTTTCATCAGTTTTCGAATGTGGAACGATAAAATAAAGAAATTTTAATTTTGTCATGCCTTATCTATAGAATTTCTTATTAATTTTTCTATTAAAATATTGAGATATTTTCTAATATATAGCAGAGTAATATATTCTAAGTGATGAAACTTTTAATGTAATTTATTCTTTTTGTGATAAAATTTTAGAATTATCGAGAAGAGTTGGCACTTAAAAAGTCTTTTTGTTTAAGAGGAAATTTACTTAATGCAGACTAAAATATAAGAAAATAATAAATTCTCAACAAACATCTTATATAGGCTGTGTTCCAAAATTGACTGCCAGTACTGAAAATCTTTAGTATACGTGACGTAAATTGTAGCATTTTCAGTGCTGGCAGTAAATTTGGAACATGACCATAGGAGGGTATACTTAAATGCATGTACTTAACAAACGAAAGTGTAACACTAAAAAGGTTAAGATGTTAAAAAAATTTTTAATTTATTAGATAATGATCGGAATTAAATACTCGATTTTAACGTGTAATATTAATTTAATATTTATTTGTTTAATGATAAATCTAAATATATTTTAATTATTTTACAATTATTTTTATACATAATCCTAGCTATAATTTCTACTTAATTTGTACCTTTTCTATTGTTTAATTCGTTAAAAAAATTGTTATATAAACGAAAAGATATTTATTAATTTGAACGCAGAAAATTAATAAATTGGAATGTTGCATCCAATTATGCTCTTTTATCCTTGCATCTCGAAACACCGATAATATTCGATATCCATGTGATTTATTTACCTGGACAAATAATTAGTAAGTGGTATATTATTTCCCAGCGATGTCGAGCTTCCTCTTCGTGATGATCCTTCGTCAATGCCCGTGCACTGTGCAACTACCACTATACCATTACTACTATCACCATCACGACACTTAACCCCACAACAACAGCACGCAGACCTCGCACGTTGCGTACCGATGGCGAACGCGCACCCTCACTCACCCCGTTCTCGTCCGCGGCTCTGCTTCTGTGTTACAGAGGTCCTGCCCTCCTCCACCTCCGTAGACCTGTCGGGCACGGATTCGGCCCTGTACCCGTTCGACCCACAGCAGGAGAACTACCAGGAGATCTGGTTGCCGCCGACCAGTATGTACCCCTATTTTCTGTTCCCCGGGACCGCGCGCACCCCGCCGTACTACGACCCCGACAGCACGTACGACATACGAGAGCCCGGCGACCGCTACCAACACCATCACCGTCACGGCGATCGACATCATCACCAGGAAGCGCCGGAGCTGCCCGGCAGGCCAGCCGTCCTCGTTGTCGAGGCGTACGATCCTCGGACCGATTCGGACCGGTACGAAACCGACATGAATCGGTTCGAGGATCGCTCGGTGACCTCGCGACCAGGCGTTAATCATCTGGATCGATCGACGGATGGATCTTCTTCCTCCTTCTCCTCCTCTTCTTCTTCTTCCTCCTCTTCTTCTTCTTCTTCTTCTTCTTCTTCTTCTTCGTCTTCGTTGTCCAAGCATGATCGCGCCTCCGGCACAGTGCACCTGCAGCCCCAAAGCGAGCATGACGCGCACCCGCACCAGCATCGGCACCATCACCAACAGCACCAGCACCATCGTCAGCA